AGCGCGCTGCAAAGGTATTTACAAATACTACATACTGTCCGGATGTCTCACTTTAGAGAAGAGTTAACACTTCTGAAGTCAGCCCCAGGTTCTGACTGGACTCAGGCCCACGCCAAAAAAAAGATTCCCATGGATATTGTACCAGCTCAACCCGTTTCTGGATGAAGATGGACTGATTCGGTCGGTTGCAGGCTCCGACCTCCGGATGGGACGGTGTGTTGGCCTAAGTGGTGTGGCCCAGCTTGCTTTAGTGCAGAACCATCCCACTCAAATCAACCGCCTTGTCCTTGGTTGTCTTTCCTTTCACGTGAGATATTTTCCTTTATTTTTGGCATAATTTTATACTTGAAGTACGTAGATGATAGTTTTGTGTTAGTTTTGTTTGCAATCGCCCCTTACACATGGACACCTCCACCTTTATCTCAGCGCCACTTCCGTGGGAATGTTGCAACGCAGGATCTGGACAAATTGGCGCGTTCTGGATTCCACGTTCCTTCAACTAAGAAAGCATCAGTTCACCCACGATGTGCTCACAACCTTCGTGGCAGAGGCTAGCGCTATAGTTAACTCCAGACCTATAACGGCTCTCCATGCTATGCACAGCCAGGCTTCTGACCCTGAAGGCACAACCTTTTGAAGCCCTAAACCATGCAAGTTCGTCTACGAAGATCTGTATGGGAGACAACCCTGTCAATGTGTTCTATATCTCGCCGCCAAATTCTGGACAAGATGGCACAAGGAGTATCTACTGATTCTCCAGCAGCGGCAGAAATGGAGCCAGAGCATTCCCAACATCTGCAAAGGAGATGTTGTACTTCTCAGTCAGACGGAACTCCTTAGGTACAAGTGACAACTTGCACGCGCAACGAGCACCTACCCCAGCGAGGGTGGGAGGTCCGTAAGGCCGACGTCATGGTCTGCTTTGATGGCACAATCGAACCTACCTGCGGCACGTATCTGATTTCATTATCTTGGAGAAGGCACCTTCCCGCTGAGTAGACGAACCCACTCACCGAGCTCCATGGTCTCAGTTTTAAAATTCCAGGGTGATTTTTAGGCGGGGAATGTTTGGTCCATACCTTGCTCTTGAGGGCGCAATTCACATTTTAAAGTGTTAGATATTACCAATTGGGGGCGCTCTCCACTTAGACTATCTGTTCTGTCTCGCGGACAAGCACTGAGTATACAGTTTTACCGGACAATTAATATACTCAGTGAAGGGCAAAACCTATAATTAAGCTAAACCATATTTCTCACGGACAATGTGCATGCTCCCGTTACTTGCAGTTTTGAGGACGTTTATAGCCTTTCAAAATCACTTTATTTCTTATTTTAGAAAATTCTGACTCTCCTTGTCTGTTGCTAGGATCAGCCTACTCCTTACATGACCTTTCCTGAAGTTTTCTCTCTGAAAAGAATCTCTGTCAAGTTGAAGTGATGTGAAGTTGAAGTTGATGTTCAAGTGATCTATACTGCACACTTTTCATTAAGTGCAGGTTGGATTTCTGCATGCTTCATTAGTGTTTAGGTAGTTTTAAGCTCATTTAATTTCCACATTTAAAGTAGTTTATGTCCAGTATTGTTTCCTCTATAAAGTTCACAGCGTTTATTAAAGGAATGTGGAAACCAAAGCGCTGACCTTCAGCTCTTTTCCTTTATTATGCATGGTTGACACCACTAGCGAAACCTAGGCTCCGTCTCCTTGGAGTTACACTTACAGCTGAAACCAGTATAGCAAGGAAATGGTTCCACCTGGCACAAATAATTCAGGAAATGGCACCACTTCAGAACTTTGAGATTGGGATGCTGATTAGATATAAATACCCACAAGCCTCAGTTTGAGCAGATAATAATTAATATGCTGTTAAAACTGACCGTTGATGGACAATCGTTGCCTATGACGATGCAAGTCCCAGTTATGCCGCAAGTGTCTGCCACCACGTGTCAGTGAAGAAAGCTCCCTTCACGTCTCCTTTGATCACTAGTGAGCCGTGCACTAAAACCCAATTTTGATGGAAAACGCCAGTCAGAAAAGTCTACATCCCAAGAAGAGACCACGTTTCTCAGTATCTTGGACACCAGCATCCACCAGGCGAAAGGAAGTCATTATGCCACTTCCCTTCACAGATGGGAAACTAACTCTTCTCAACAGCAAGAAAATGGCTATGGTTCGTCTAAATCATCTGCTGAAGAAGTTTAACAACTACAAGAACTTTATACAAAATGTCACAAAGAATGATGCTGAAAAGGTTGAGAGCCACGCAGAAGGAAGGGTTTGGTACGTCCAACATCATGGGATATACCACCCTCAAAAATCAGAAAAGATCCAGGTAGTATTTGATCGTTTTGCACGCCCCAGGATACCGGTAACTGGTTACCACCTCATCAGATCTGACATGATCAATAACCTAACTGGAGTCCTGTGCAGATTCAGACAGCATCCTGCAGCAGTTACTGTCATGACTGGACTTCCGGCACTTCTTGTTAGCCCCTTGCGGCTGGATTGGAGACAAGCTACATACACGAGTTCGTAACGTTCATGTTATCTAGTTCAAGTTTTCACAGCAGTTTGCTACCGAGCTTCGCCTCGTAATATGTTGCTCTTTGTGACTTCCAGAACCGCTTATTCTCTTACATGTTACACCCAGTTTAGAAGGTATGTTTTATATTACCCCTTTATTACTCTTTGCCCTTTAGGTATTTGTTATGATGGCCTTTGGGGGAAGTTTTTGTGACTTCTTTCTGTCCCTTGACGTTGAGCTTCGCCAGTGTTTGTAAACACCATTTGGGTAAAGATGTTGTTTCTTGGAACGTTTTAAAGATTCAAGTGCCCCCTTTAGAGTTTACTCAAGTAATTTTCTATGTTATTGGCCTTTGATTAGAAGTTGTAGATTCATGCAGTTTGTTATAATCCCGTATGGGTGAGTGATAATGGTTAGTTGGTTCCTTGCGGGAACTAATTTTTGTTCAGTTAGGCGCTGAGGATTAAGTTTAGTCAGACCATGTAGGCTGGCTATGCACGTGATCTGCGGCTGAGTGATATTTCTGGCGGGTGATTTGCAATAGCGTAGTCTTTTTGCAGGTGTTTCCTGAAATTGCTTTGGCAGTTTCGCACCAGTTTTAAACTGGAAGATGTAGTTCTTCCTAGTTTTTGAGAATCGTAGTTAATGTTTACTCTTTTCCAGTCGATTCCTATTTAATCAGGCTTCGTGTACCCTTCTTTTGTTTAGATCAATAGATTTAATTGCATAAAGGATTCTGATACCGTTACATATACATGTATTTTGTTTTATTTTTTAAGCTTTGTCTCAACTTACATTTACTGGTGAAGTGACACAGATAAGTACAGATTGTGAGGTAGTTTATAATCGATAGCTTGAAACTCTTACTTCACTTGTGTTGGAGAGATGATCGCGCCACACCCTGCAACAGCTGCCGA